TATGATACGTCCTCATGACACCATATGATACGTCCTCATGGCACAACATGACACATGTCCTCATGACACCATTATAATACCTCCTCATAACACAACATGATACGTCCTCGTGACACAACATGATACATGTCCTCATGACACAATATGATACGTCTTCATGACACCATATGATACGTCCTCATGACACAACATGATACATGTCCTCATGACACCATATGATATATCCTCATGACATGTGATACGCCTTCATGACACAACATGATACATGTCCTCATGACACCATATGATACAGGTCCTCATGCCATAACATGATACAGGTCCTCATGACACAACATGATACATCCTTATGACACAACATGATACATGTCCTCATGACACCATATGATACATGTCCTCATAACACCATACGATATATGTCCTCATGACATCATATGATACATGTCCTCATGCAATAACATGATACAGGTCCTCATGACACAACATGATACATCCTTATGACACAACATGATACATGTCCTCATGACACCATATGATACATGTCCTCATAACACCATACGATATATGTCCTCATGACACCATATGATACATGTCTTCATGACGCCATATGATACATATCCTCATGCAATAACATGATACAGGTCCTCATGACACAGCATGATACAGGTCCTCATGACACCATATGATACATGTCCTCATGACACCATATAATACATGTCCTCATGACACAACATGATACACGTCTTCATGACACCATATGATACGTCCTCATGACACAACATGATACATGTCCTCATGACACCATATGATATATCCTCATGACATGTGATACGCCTTCATGACACAACATGATACATGTCCTCATGACACCATATGATACATGTCCTCATGACACCATATGATACAGGTCCTCATGCCATAACATGATACAGGTCCTCATGACACAACATGATACATCCTTATGACACAACATGATACATGTCCTCATGACACCATATAATACATGTCCTCATGACACAACATGATACACGTCTTCATGACACCATATGATACGTCCTCGTGACACAACATGATACATGTCCTCATGACACAATATGATACGTCTTCATGACACCATATGATACGTCCTCATGACACAACATGATACATGTCCTCATGACACAATATGATATATCCTCATGACATGTGACACCATATGATACGTCCTCATGACACAACATGATACATGTCCTCATGACACCATATGATATATCCTCATGACATGTGATACGCCTTCATGACACAACATGATACATGTCCTCATGACACCATATGATACATGTCCTCATGACACCATATGATACAGGTCCTCATGCCATAACATGATACAGGTCCTCATGACACAACATGATACATCCTTATGACACAACATGATACATGTCATCATGACACCATATGATACATGTCCTCATAACACCATACGATATATGTCCTCATGACATCATATGATACATGTCCTCATGCAATAACATGATACAGGTCCTCATGACACAACATGATACAGGTCCTCAGGACACCATATGATACATGTCCTCATGACACAATATGATACATGTCTTCATGACGCCATATGATACATATCCTCATGCAATAACATGATACAGGTCCTCATGACACAGCATGATACAGGTCCTCATGACACCATATGATACATGTCCTCATGACACCATATAATACATGTCCTCATGACACAACATGATACACGTCTTCATGATACCATATGATACGTCCTCATGACACAACATGATACATGTCCTCATGACACCATATGATATGGCCTCATGACACATGATACGTCTTCATGACACAACATGATAAATGTCCTGATGACACCATATGATACGTCCTCATGACACAACATGATACCTCCTCATGACACAACATGATGCATGTCCTCATGACACCATATGATACATGTCCTCATGACACCATATGATACATGTCCTCATGCCATAACATGATACAGGTCCTCATGACACAACATGATACAGGTCCTCACGACACAATGATACATGTCCTCATAACACCATACGATACATGTCCTCGTGACACCATATAATACGTCATCATAACACAACATACGTCCTCATGACACAACATGATACATGTCCTCATGACACAATATGATATATCCTCATGACATGTGACACCATATGATACGTCCTCATGACACAACATGATACATGTCCTCATGACACCATATGATATATCCTCATGACATGTGATACACCTTCATGACACAACATGATACATGTCCTCATGACACCATATGATACATGTCCTCATGACACCATATGATACAGGTCCTCATGCCATAACATGATACAGGTCCTCATGACACAACATGATACATCCTTATGACACAACATGATACATGTCATCATGACACCATATGATACATGTCCTCATAACACCATACGATATATGTCCTCATGACATCATATGATACATGTCCTCATGCAATAACATGATACAGGTCCTCATGACACAACATGATACAGGTCCTCAGGACACCATATGATACATGTCCTCATGACACAATATGATACATGTCTTCATGACGCCATATGATACATATCCTCATGCAATAACATGATACAGGTCCTCATGACACAGCATGATACAGGTCCTCATGACACCATATGATACATGTCCTCATGACACAACATGATACATGTCCTCATGACACAACATGATACACGTCTTCATGATACCATATGATACGTCCTCATGACACAACATGATACATGTCCTCATGACACCATATGATATGGCCTCATGACACATGATACGTCTTCATGACACAACATGATAAATGTCCTGATGACACCATATGATACGTCCTCATGACACAACATGATACCTCCTCATGACACAACATGATGCATGTCCTCATGACACCATATGATACATGTCCTCATGACACCATATGATACATGTCCTCATGCCATAACATGATACAGGTCCTCATGACACAACATGATACAGGTCCTCACGACACAATGATACATGTCCTCATAACACCATACGATACATGTCCTCGTGACACCATATAATACGTCATCATAACACAACATACGTCCTCATGACACAACATGATGCATGTCCTCATGACACCATATGATACATGTCCTCATGACACCATATGATACATGTCCTCATGCCATAACATGATACAGGTCCTCATGACACAACATGATACAGGTCCTCACGACACAATGATACATGTCCTCATAACACCATATGATACATGTCCTCATGACACCATATAATACGTCATCATAACACAACATACGTCCTCATGACACAACATGATACATGTCCTCATGACACAACATGATACACGTCTTCATGACACCATATGATACGTCCTCATGACACAACATGATACATGTCCTCATGACACAATGTGATAATTGTATCACAGCACAAAGTCCCACACTGCATTACACTTCAGCAAACTGTACACCCTGTTATGAGAGTGTTTTTTTTTGTAATTTGTAATATCACATTGATTAAGACTAATAAGTGATCGTTATTATAGAGTCACAATGTTTAAAGTTTTGAGTGTGGGTTTTGGCTCGCATCTCACATCATATATATTCAATGGCAATAGTAGCAGCACGCCTTTTTAAAAGCGCTTTAGAGCTGCCTCCCTTGACTAGCTTGTATTTGTTTTGACTTCCAGTCGTGTGTTCGAGAAAATGGCCTAATGTTCTGAGAGAATAATGATGGAGCCTAGCTTTGCTAGACTGCTCGAGAACTGTGTAAGAGCTATATAAAGGCTGGATGTTGAGTTGTGCGGAGTTAGTAGGAACCAACAACTCGTGTGGCTCCTGAAGTGGCTAGCTAAATACAATATTCCATCATGTACCTATCAACACCAGTATCAGCTTTTATTGTTAAACCGTGATCCACTGTGAAGACACAGAGTGTTCAGTGTGATCATCAAATATATATATACAATCAACCAGGAAATGCTAGGTGATACCAAGGTCACAGTATAGGAAACTATTTGACATGTGATAATACGTTATCCCATGACAATGATGTCATTGGCAACGGATCAGTTGTAAGTGAGATCATGGAACAGCCAGATCATGTACACAGAGGGTGCACCTCACAACAGCTGGTCCTTCACATAACACAATCCACCACAACATGAATAACGAAATTATTGCCCTAAGCACAATCAGTTGTACAGCCACTATTATGACCTTGATCGTGCTAATGATGGTATCAGTTGTGTTCATAATACAGCCTGAGAGAGTCTGTAGCAGGTTATATAGCCGCCTCCAATACCGCCATCAACACCAGTGTACAGTCACAGGTTATATAGCCGCCTCCAATACCGCCATCAACACCAGTGTACAGTCACAGGTTATATAGCCGCCTCCAATACCGCCATCAACACCAGTGTACAGTCACAGGTTATATAGCCGCCTCCAATACCAATACCGCATCAACACCAGTGTACAGTCACAGGTTATATAGCCGCCTCCAATACCGCCATCAACACCAGTGTACAGTCACAGGTTATATAGCCGCCTCCAATACCGCCATCAACACCAGTGTACAGTCACAGGTTATATAGCCGCCTCCAATACCGCCATCAACACCAATGTACACAGTACAGTCACACTGATGGCTTTCACCAATAACTTAAGATGAACTTTGTCAGCTTGACGGTCCGCTCAGCAATATTCATTCATAAAGCTCCTTGCTTTTAAAAGCCCCCTCAAAATTTCCAGCAAAAACTAAGACAAATTCAAACGAAAATGAGGTGCATACAACTGACCTTACAGAAAACCGCAGCGGACATTTGAACTAAGTCAGCTTGTGTATGGCACAAATAAGCACCCCTCTACTACTGTAAATTGTGTGAGTGCACAGTGTGCTCGGTGAGTACAGTATATCTGCAGCTAATACACCAACATTGCCCACTGGGAGCCTGCAGCATCTACCTCATCACTCTCTGACTGGTCCACGTTCCCATTCTGATCATCGTCCAGCAGATGGTGAAGCGCCTTGATAGCATCGAACCCATACTTGTCCTTCAAACACGGCGTGTCCAGCTCCTCACAGTCTGCAAGTGAAAACCACACAGTGAACTTGTCAATATGATATGAGTATTATACTGACATTTGTTACATAACCTCACCGGATTACATGTTTTCAGATGGCAGTGTTTACTCTTGCCACAAAAAGGCGGATTGCAAAACACAGACATTGCAAATACGCAGATGGTGACTTGAGTCTACACTAAGGTGGTCTTTACTAAGTTAGTGACATGCTTTACACTTGTTCATGTGATAATCGACAAAACAACTGTTGATCCTAAACGTCTGAAAACCCTTAACACGAGGATATGTGAAGTACTGTTATGTCAGGATTATGACAAAGGGACATTAATGTTGCTCCATCGTTGGAGGGTGGGAGGACGCAGGGACATTGTGAGTAAGGATTATACTTTGGTGGAGAATTTCAATTAATCTGCAGCAACAGCATGACATCAACAACTGTGTCCCCAAAGCACTTGAAATCTGAGATTATTCAACCATCCTCATCCATACAGACTTGGTGACCTGATGAAGCATAAATCAGGCTCTGACAACAGGTTCAGTCTAGTCTTCAACTTCTCACACAGGTTCAGTCTAGTCTTCAATTCTCACACAGGTTCAGTCTTGTCTTGAACTACTCACACAGGTTCAGTATTGACTTGAATTACTCTATGGTTTCTCGCCCACTAATGAACAATTATTTCCTGCCCACTAATGAAGAAATGTTCCTGCCCACTAATGAACAAATGCTTCAGCTCCCTTATGAACGTCCACCCTACCAATACTTATCACCTTGTAAATTTTGGATTTTTAAACAGAGAAATCAAACTCTTCTCTCAGTCTTTAGAGAATTTAAGCGTTCTGGTGTTTAACTTTAACATTCGTGAAGATATATGCTCATATAAAATTGCTTTCTTTTGTTTTTCAAATTAACATGTTGTCAAGTGTTTTGTCATTTCGCCAAGTTTGTGTTCTATAAATCAAATGATGGCATGTCTGGTTACTTAGTGGCAGAACAGATCTGTGAGGTGCATTATCTGAGTTGGAGCCGAGATGGGGAACAGGCATAAACAGTTGAACATCGCACAGACACCAGATCACCACTACCATGACTACTGTAATTCCTCAGGGTATACTCCTGGCACACCATCCAGTCCCAGATCACATCGGCTTCCTACATGATTTACAAAACCAAGCAAAACAAGTGTTTGCCACTACTATGGCAATGTCCCCCACTGCTAAAGAAGAATGAAATAATTATAACATATTTACTGCTTTATATTTTTGGTCACATACAAGATGCCTGAAATGCCTGGTGTCAGCATATATTGCATCCAATGTAGGCTGTTTTATGAGATATCGTGTTTACGTAAGTTTGAAAAGTGGTCAAAGTGTCATGGTGACCTTGAAAATAAGGTCAAGGTCACCAAAATCAACTGGTGTCTGCGTAAATCCCCTAGTGTAGGCTGTAACCAAATTTGAAGATATTGGGTACAACAGTTCATGAGATATTGCGTTAACAAGAATCAGGTCGTATGTACAGACTGAACACATAGTCCCCCGTTCCGCGTTGCGGCAGGGGACAACAAGCCAAAAATGTGAACACGGCTCACTCCCAACAATTAACAATAATTATTCTTGACAAAAGCACAAAAACCTGTATTAAACTTCGCACTGCACCTTTCCTATAAACAAAGAAGCCATTACCCAGTCTAAAAACATTCCATTAAATAATCGTAAGGTTTTTGGTTGAACAAATTTGACATGCACTTTTTCCAAAGTTCAAGAGATGTAATTTGTGTGACAATTCTTGATAAATCAAAAATATCAAAATACACCTTTGCACTGCACCTCTCCTCCAGATTTGGAGAGTGATCCCCAAATTTGAAAACAATTCATTCATATGTGTTCAAGTTATTGGTTGAAAAAAAAATCCTTTGGTTTTTTAAGTCCTAAATACCTGTATGTGAAATGATGAAACTCTTTCAAAACTTCAAAATCTGAAATTTGTAAATTGCTGTATTTCTTGAACAAATAAAAATATCAGAATCAAATTCTGCACAGTACATCTTTTGACAAAGAAGGAGGTCCCCAACCAATAGTTTTCAAGTTATTAGTTGAACATACTTTTCTACGTTTATATTTATAAAACATCATAATCAAAATTCAAATTTCAAACTGATTCCTTAGTACATTCTTGTGGACACTACTTCCTACTGATGTCTGTGATTTGACACATTGTACATCCATGGCATCGGTGATGGGAATACACCAGCTTCAAACACGTCTTCTGTTGTTATTCTGCAGCTATGATCGGTTGCAGCTCATTCTCATAAACTGCCATTGTACACTAGAGATCCATGCTGTGAGAATGTACCACTGATAACTCATAACTTGCCCTTCAGAGCTCTGGCCAGATGAACAAATGATTTCTCATTTTTATCTCTGTAACATATTTAAAGGCACAATGTCACACAATTTCGACATTAGTTGCATATGCACTCACTTTAGCTTTATATTGATGCAATAAAAGACTTATTATCCCTTATGACTTGCCTGAAATCGATAATTGAAACTTCGAGGTGAACAGTTTCCAAACAGAGAACACTTGCCATATATGGAATGTAAACCGTTAATCCGTACATTGAAAACTGTCGCATGCTGTATGCTCGGTGTTTGCCGAACTGGTTTCAATCACAAGTTGTGCGTAGGATATTCATAAAGAACGCTCCAAGGGACATAACTCTATGGGATTCGCTTGAAATAATGTTCGGCCGGTAGAGGGCAAGAGAGTTGCAGTAATTCATTTGAACTTTATAATTTAATATTGTAATCTAAATACATTTTGTTTTTGGAATAAATTATATGGTAGCTTATCTGAGGGCAGATAGTTAGTATTATTAAGAGGAATGCATTATTTATTTTTAGAGAAGTGTGGTGTGATATAGTGCCTTTAATTCCAGTCCCATAATGTATCAACACCATACATTCCACAGACTGGTAACTTAAACACCAATAAGCAAAACAATTTAGACAGCACTCTGAAACCAGTGACATCGTGTGCAACACAATACCCACGCCTATTCTGTTGTCCCTTTTCAGGAAAGTTTGCAAGTGGGTGCAGCTTATTTCTGGGAGGGATTTAAGGAAACACAAATCAAAAAGGTAACAAGGAATATTTGCCATCACTTGCTACATCCTTAGGGCCAATTATCAACCTCTGACCAGGCACAGCTGAATTCCTGATGTATCATCTTATCAATATCCTGGTCCTGTGAGGAAAACTGTAAACAAAAGCCAACAAGAATCTATTTACTTCTTCTTCCTCAATACTCTCTCACCAGGAACACTATCAGCAGAAATCTGCCCCAGTGAGAAGGTCATACCAGGGAATCATCTTGTAACCCTGACCTCCAGTAACACAAGGAAACACCTTGTAACCCTGACCTCCAGTAACACAAGGAAACACCTTGTAACCCTGACCTCCAGTATTGCCTCAGCAATAAACAGACTGGTGATTTCTGGGAAGAGTTGCACACACACACATGAACCATGTCGTCATTTCCCTGCCTCAGCAATAAACCAGGCAACAGACTGGAGATTATTGAAACAAATCAAAACTCAATGCAACAGATATGGTGTATGAAATATTCAAACTCATCAACACTGTAGGAACACAACAAAACACACAATTAATCCTTCAGTAGTCAGCTAGTGATACTTCTCCTGGACAATGCCGTCATCACGCACAGCAGGTGCCCCCCATCAATATGCATGCACTACCAGCTGATCCAGTCAACAATATGTTTCTTTTATAGACACAAGTCAGGGAAGATGCCATAAATCAAGTCTACACCTGGACCTGGCACACTATTCAATGACAGGCAGATGGTAAACATCGTCGAAATAGACAAGAGCTTTGTCATTAATCGGCCAGAATATATGCCAACATGTCTACAAATAATGTACTATGCGTTGTGCCTTGTCTGTGTTACACTGACATGCTCCCGCATCACCACATCTCAGTAAACACTCGATGTAACTGTAACAACATCAAACTGTCAAAATAGTATTTTCAAATATTTAGATTTGATTAACTTTTGATACAACGGGTTCGATTTGCCACATAGGTACAATGTGTGAAGCCCATTTCTGGAGTCCCCTGATATTGCTGGTATATTGCTAAAAGTGGCGTAAAACTAAAACTCACTCACTCAATCAGAGTCAATGATTACACAATGCCATATAGAAAGTGGTCAAATGTAACGTATGCCACCAGAACGCAAAGGGACGATTAAAACACCTGATGATCCTAATGATGTTGAAATCTTTCCCAGGATGTAGCAGATACTGAGTTATCAACTACCTTCCAAGGGCTTCCATACAGTTGAAGAGCAGCCATTACTTGCTTTGCATGGTGTCTGCTCAGTCTCGGGTAGTTTGGGAGGTATTCATGTGAAGACAATAAAGTCCAAATAGAGGTGAACAGTGATCTTTCTCACAATGTTATTTGCTGGCCAGAAAGCCATACAACCACACCTGGCCAAATCTAGACCTTGCTCAGAATACAACCGGACCTGGCTTATAACCAGACTTAGCAACGTTTACTGGGTAAGCTGACCTACAACACTACAGGACATAGGACACACCACACAAGCTGACATAGGACACAACCCTGACCGAGGAATGACACAAGGAGAAATAGGACACAATCAGAGCAGGGACATAACTACATACAGGACTCAACCAGACATAGGACAAGATTCTGGACACAACCACTCTGAGGACACCAACCGGATGTCAAAGATCTAGGACACAACCAGACACAGGAAACAAGCTGTTGAAGGATACAGCTACACCATTACTGAGTACGTTTCATACCAATAAATCATTAACACTATGTTCAGTACCTGTAAACTATAAGAATGTGTTGAACAGCAGTATATCAGTATGGCAGATTTAGTATTGAGCAGATGAAGCAACAGGTTGTTACACAAGCAACACTCTTGACACTCGTCAACTGAGA